GAAGAGAGTTTAAGTGTCCTGCCCAAGGACGGTTAACCCAGAGAGGGACAAAACTATCTAATCTACGGCCGTCCATCTCCTTCCCCCGCCCCATCTCTCTCAACAACCTCTGCTCTTTTCTGCCCATAGCTCTTATAAGTATCTGAGCTTTTTCTGTTTACTTACTTTCTTCACTTGTTTTTGTCTACTCCTTGAATGAAAACCCTATGAGAGCAGGAACCTTGCTGCTTTGTCACTCCGTTGACTTCAGTGCATAGAACATCTTTCGTGCTCGATAAATGTACTTGACACATAATAAGAGCATAAAATTTGCTAAGCAAGTACTGTTGAATGAATCAATGACCACAACTGGATCTCCTTTTCAGCCATGCCTATGGATCTAGGGTGGGAAAGAACACTCAAGATGGAGAACAGTTGTCTCCATCTGTTGCTAATTCCCTTGTCTGGTTAAAGAAGCAAAGACGTGGCAATGACTATGGGTAGGCCAGTGCCAAAGCTGAAGAAAGGCAAGGACGTTTGCTTCAGTCCTTGAGGATGTGGTCCCTGAAAAAGTCTCTGGAGGCAAATAATTCTTGGGGGCCTATAAAAGAAGAGCAGGATATAGCTTCTCCATCAATTCTACTCCCTTCCCTCATTTTTAATAGCAAATGAAGATCAGGGGCAAGGTCACAGAAAGAAACTGGTGATAAGGGATGAGGGAAAGAAGCCCTCTCTGTGGGTGATGGTCTCCTATTCTGAAGCCAAAAATTCAAGCCATCAGTCTGGTGGGTCCCCAAAGAGTTAAACCAGAGTTCCCACATGACCCAGCAGTTCCACTCCCAGGCATATACCCAAGAGAAAGGAAAACATACGTCTACCCAAAAACACGTACACCAATGTTGATAGCAGCACTATTTACAACAGTTGACAAGTATAAGCAACCCAAATGTCCATTAACCGATGAATGGATAAACAAAATGTGATACATGCATACAATGAATATTATTCAGCAATACAAAGATGTAAGTACTGACACAGCTACAATACAGATGAGCCTCAAAAACATTATGCTAAGTAGAAGTCAGTCACAAAGGATCACATACTACATGATATGTCCAGAATAGGCAAATCTGTAGAGACAGAAGTTAGGTTGGTGGTTGCCTGGAGCTGGGGGGTAATGACCACTAATGGGTACAGGGTTTCTTTTAGGAATAATGAAAATGTTCTGAAAGTAGACAGTGATGATGATTGCCCAACCCTGTGAATGGTGTACTTTGTAAATAATCACTGAATTGTAGACTTTAAATGGGTCAATTGTATGGTATTTGAAATATATCTCAATAAAGCTGGTATTAAAAAAAAAAAAGCTCCTGCAGTAACTCCTTCCGCAGTCTACACAGGGCAGGGACATGTTGGAGCCCCCTGTATTTCCCTCAGGAGAGCAGACAAGCAGTGCAACCCTGTAATATCGGGGGTTTCGTGGAGGTGACCCCACCCCCCCTTACTCTCCACACTCGCTTGCCTTACTCTAACAGGCTTGCCCTAGTCTTCTATTTTATCTTCCCTCATTCAACAGACTTTTGCTGAGCACCTCCTGTATGCCAGGGGCTACGCTAGGCACGGGCCCTGCAGACAAAGAGAGAGCAGGCTCTGCTCTGCCTTCAAAGAGTTATCACTTTCGTAATTATTCATTCAACCACAGGGCAGGAAACAGCCAGAGGAGAGCCCTAAGTGGTATTCTGCCATGGGCAGAAAAGGGCAGAAAAGAATTTTTCGTGTCTGGGTTCCAGAAAGGTGGACTCATGTCCACACCGGAAAAGGACGCATGGGTCTGGTATGCAAATCTCAAAGGTGCGGCGGGGCACTGTGCAGGTGGGGAGCCCGGGGGTCAGATCTGACCAGAAGCCAAAGACACAAAGCCCCGGGGCCATGACAGGGTGCCAGCATCGCCCTTAAATTCCATCTGGCAAACCTGTCGGTGTTTCCACTTTGTTTATTTTTTTTAAAGGAAAGAGGAGATGGGGGAGGAGGGAGAGCACACAAGCTATTACTCAGCATTTCCATCCTGTTCGATGTTTCACAGCACTCCTGCCCTCGCTTAGTCCTGAACTGCCGAAAATAATAAAGGAATTTGAGAACCCAGCCAAGAACTCTAAGTACTTAGCAGATATAAGAACCTATCACTGCATCTGGCAAGGCGGGCACTATTAAAAAAATTAACCCGATCAAATAAACACTACTTAAAAACATAATTCAGCATAGTAATCTCTGTAATGCTGACACGTCATCCGGCGGTTAATGGTTAATGAATTCAGTAAGCTGATGGTCTAAATCTGCCCGTTCACACCTTGGCACACACCCACTTTTACAGAATGGGCACTGACTTCCTTCTTTGAGATAAAAGAATTCCATGGCTGGCATACCAAGTATTTTATGGCAGCAATTAACAAGAAAATCAGCTTCCTGCTGTCAGGACTATGCGCAAGATCACCATATTCAAGGTGCAGCATTGATAAAGTAACAGTGTTTTGTATGATTGTCTATCAGCTGGGCCAGCATTCCGGGTGAGTTGCAATACCCTAGGAGCACTGTGGCTTTTGGATTCATGCTCTGGAAGGTATTTGAAATGGATGTGCTTGTGTGTCTGTGTTTATATTTATACTCCACCAGGCTCAGTGACCACCTTCACTTGTTCCACAGGAGTGCTACCTTTAGGAGTGATCACTGGTCAACTGGGAGAATACTCAGCAAAGTATAAATAGTATGCACACTTAAAATTTCCATTAATATGAATCCTATGAGACAAAGCGCTTCAATTAGCTATTTCAAAAAATATGTTGGGGTCACATAAAAAGTAAAAAAGAATTTTGAAAACGTACTTTGAAAGACATCATCTACTTTATTTCAGATAAACTCTGCACTCTTCCCTGCTACACGCTGCAGGACAATTAGAAAAGCCTGACAACACAACACACAGACACACAAACACACACACACACACACTTAAGAGCTAACATGGTAAGGTGAAGAACTGCCAGGTCAAGATCTGAAAAAGACCAAAACTTAGAGAGATGAGGTCAGCATTTGGCTTTGCTTTCCTCTTGAGGCATCTGCTGAATTAAGAAAAGGTTCCTGAATGGCTGAGAAGCTGAGAAACATTTCTGATGGCCTTGTGGGGCCAGGAGAACAAAAACTGGGGCCCTGGACTGCCAATGAGTTGGCGCTAATTTCAGACAAAATAAACTAAGGCAAAAAGCATTACTACTGATAAAGATACAGATAAATGGTTTAATAAACAGGGATTACAAGTTGGAATTGTTTAATAGAACAATTCTAAAATTGTATGCACCTAAACAGAAGTCTGAGAGTACATAAAGCAAGACACTGACATCACTGTGCAGAGACACAGACAAACTGCAATCATGGTGGAAGATTTAACATAGTTTTCTCAGTAACAAAACAGCAGAAAAAAGTTAGCATACAGCAAATTTGAAAAAAATGAGAAAAATCAGAATCTAATTTTCATCTATAGAACTTTGCACCCAAGGATCCTAAAATTTATTCTTTTCAAGCCCACATGGAAGAGTTACAAAAACTGAACATATGCCTTTTAGCTGTACAATGGAAAACTATGTGTCCATAGAGACTAATTAAGAGTGAATTAATCTGGCCCCTGACAAAGAGGTATGATTTAGTAAGGCTGAGGGGACTATTGTGTCAATATGCAAAGGAGTCTTGAGAAGATAAGCAGACTGTCCCTAGTGACTTGGTGACTTGGGGATGCCATGGAATCGATGCTTGGCTGGACCTGAGATGGAGAGTACGAAAGCAGAAGAGAGAGAATAGAGTGGGAAAAGTCCACACAGCCCTCCCTCCTTTTTCTCTGCCCCTGGGAGCTGCACAATTACACTCTGAGTTGTATGGAAGAGAGAAAGATAATACAAAACCCCGGTCCTCTGCCTACCACTGAAGGGAGGCAGCAGTAATGGCAGAGTCTTCTGTGTAATCAGGCAGATGACTTACCTTTTCTATAACCAAACCCTGCTTCCTTTCCTCCTGGCTTCGCAACTCCACTTCCCCATCTTATGTCACCCTGTCTTGTCCTAGGAAGCTGTGCTGGATTCCAAATGACCACCTTTGCCATTCCACCATCATAAGCATTTGTAAGTGTGGCTGGACCCTGCAAATCCCGAGTTCTTGTTCTAACAAGCCTCTCTCTATGAGAAAAATCTGCCTAGCTTCCCACCACATTCCTATCCCAACCTTCAGAGAGAGTAAATGGGCCCTAAAGGTAGTTCTTTGCTTTGATTCTCAACTTCAGTGGCCTGTTGTGCTCTGGGAGTTTGGATTAGAACCATGGAATGTGGAGGAGTCCTGCTAGGATTCAGAGAGCTGGAGCTGGAGCTGGAAGCCTGAGGCGGGGTGGGGTGGGGTGGGGTGGGTGCAGACATGACCTGTGCTTTTCAGAAAAACCAGGAGTCCTGAGTAGCACCCCACAGCCCATTTACAGGTTAACTGGAACCACCTCCCTCGCCTGACCTAGTTGCAGGAAGGACACTAGTAGGCTTTCTGGACCTGCTGCAGTGCTGACCTAATTCTCTGAAAGAATCTCAGCAACACCAGTCAGTCTCTCCCTCATTTCTCCCCCAATCTGGCAACATTTAGTGCTGAGTAGAAAAAACACTTAATCAGCAGTGCTTCCTTCGAGCCACCACCAGCCCAGTGTCCACGTGTCGGCTCCACAGCACTGCGTCGGATCCTTCTGCCTCCGGTGGTTGGGCACCACATACTCACCAACAGTGATTGTGGTGCCTGGGCACGTGTGCACTCATGTGTTCAGCTGGCTGTTCTGAAGTCACCCTCCGTATGAGACTGTACACCCTGAGTACTTCCTGGATTTTCCCAGCACCCCTTCAGGAAGTAAGTGAAGCACGCCAATGTTTGCTCTGAGGGCCTTATTAATAAGTCAGTTCCACTGTTTTCCCTTCCCCCCTGTCTGGCAGACGGCCAACCAGACTTACCCTCATACATCTCCAGGATGTGAACTGTGTCTCCAATCTGCAAGGAGAGCTCCACATCTTGAGAGGCATTGTAGTTATAGATCGCTGGAAATGAGAAATAAAAGGGGGAAATGGCATCAGTGGCAGGGAAAATACAAGTCACTAAATAGCACATTCAGTGGTTAGTGAATCACTTATTCAACAAATAACCCTCTGTTTAATGATTTCATGCGAATCACCCACTATAAAGCAGAGCACATTCTCCTGGACCCCTATTACTGGTATTTTACAGTCTTTCCTCCATCCAACAAACACTGGTTGGTTGCCTACTAGGTACCACATACTGTGTTAGAGACTGGTAACCGAGTGACGAAACACACACACTTGGTCCCTCTCCCGGCAATTTTTATAGTCTAGGAGGGGAAGAAAGATATTCAACATATTACAGAAACAACTACTTAATTAAAACTATGACAAGCTTTATGAAAGAAAAAAACAGGCTACAATGAGAATATACTGTGGGGGTCTGTTGATCGGTCCCCTTGTTCATCAGACAACAGCCAGCCTACCCCACCACTGAGCTTATGATCTCAAAGTCATAGGACAAGCCATCTCTCCATTTCCCTGATACAGTAATTGGTAGCCAAAGGGTCCCACTTGTGAGTCCCATCTAACCTCCAGTAACAGGCTGACACAGTAACAGGCTGACACAGTAACAGACTGACACAGGGTGCAATAGAGATGGCCGCTTTGCCCCAGTTCTCAGCACGCTGGGGAACTGGGTTGTCCCAGCACTTCCTCATCAAGGTGATCTCAATCTCCACAGTCCTTCGGACTGGCAATGACTGGGCCACATGGAGAAAAACAGTAGACTAAACTCTCATAACTCACAAGGAAGAAGACTATAAATAACCCAATGTGAAGATAGGCAAGAGCTCTGAATAGACATTTCACCAAGAATCATATATGATGGCTAATAGCACATGAAAAGATGTTCAACACCAATGTCATCAGGGAAATGCAAATTAAAACCACAGTGAGATACCACTTCACACCCCCTAGAAAGGTTGTAATTTTTAAAAGGCAGACAATTGGCAACAATGTGGAGAAACTGGAACTCTCATACATTGCTGGTGGGAATGTAAAATATAAAGATACAGCTTCTTCAGAAAACAGTTTGGCAGTTTCTTAAAAAGTTAAACATGAATTTACAATACAACCCAGCAATTCCACTCCCAGTTATCTACAAAGAGAAATGAAAACACGCCTACACAAAAACTTTATTCACAGCTGCTGTGGTAGGCAGAAAAATAGCCCCCTAAAAGATTACCATCAAATTTCTGGAACTTGTGAATGTTACCTTATGTGGCAAAAAATTTCCATAAATTAAGGATCTTGACAGGAGGAGTTTTCTCTGGATTATCAGGGTGGGCTCTAAATACAATCACATGTATCCTGATAAGAGAGAGCCAGAGGGAGTTTCAACAGACTTAGAGAAGAGAAGCCAATGTGAAGATGGAGGCAGACAATGATGTAATATGACCTCAAGTCAAGGATTGCCACAGTCACCAGCAGCTAGAACAGGCAAGGAACGGGACCTTCCCTAGGGCCTCTAGAAGGAGCACAGCCTGTCAACACCTTGACTTCAGACTTCTAGTCTTCAGAATTGTGAAAGAAGTTTCTGTTGTTTTAAGGCACCAAGTTTGAGGTAATTTGTAACCAAAGCCATAGGAAACCAATATGGCAGCATTATTCACAATAGCCAGAAACTGGCAACAATTCATCAACTGATGAATGAATGAATAAAATATGGTATATCCACACAACAGGATATTACTCAGCAATAAAAAGGAACACAGTATTAACACATGCTACTGCATGGATGAACTTCAAAAATACGATGCTGCTGGAGCTGGCCCCATGGCCGAGTAGTTAAGTTCACGCGCTCCGCTGCAGGCGGCCCAGTGTTTCGTTGGTTCAAATCCTGGGCATGGACATGGCACTGCTCATCAAACCACGCTGAGGCAGCGTCCCACATGCCACAACTAGAAGGACCCAAAACGAAGAATATACAACTATGTACTGGGGGGCTTTGGGGAGAAAAAGGAAAAAATAAATTTAAAAAATATATATGATGCTAAATGAAAGCCATATGGGAAAAGCACATCTTAGGTGACAAACAGAAATGGCGAGCAATAGGATATGTTGGAGTATATAAGGAAGCCATTTGGTGTAAACCTAATTCAGCCTGACTTTGTTTTTTCAAAAGGGCCTGACATGGCCATTGAGCATGCATTGTATATCTGCTTTAAACATTTGCCATGGCAAGAACAATGCCCTCAACATAAAGGTGCAACTTCCCCCGACACTGGCAATTCCATAGGGATAAGCATCTCTCCCTAGGCTAGGAACTGATGCTGTGCTCTCCTGTGACCACCCAGCTCGAGACAACAGAACTGCCACACTGCTGTGTCCACCAAGACAGCAGACCTACTACCTGCTATGTCCATCAATTGCTGTGCCAACAGAGTAGTCTCATGACTATTGTAAAAGGGACATTTCAATCATACGTGAAACATCCTCTTCGAAGGTATATTACCACTCTGTATATCCTACTTCTTTGGTGCCCTTCCTTCCTTCGGGAAGGAAGGCCCAGGGCCATGGTCCTCACACTTTGGCTCAGAATAAGCTCACCCAAATTTTCATTTATAGATTGGTTATGGATTATTTTCATCAACATAGACTTCCATTTACAATGTCCAGAATAGGCAAATCTATCAAAGACAGTACAGCAGATTATTCGTTGCCTAGGGCTAGGGGGTGAGAAGGGTGACCGAGCACAGTAGGCCCCAGGGAGATTTTTGGGGAGATGGAAACATCTAAAAACCAGATTGTGGTGATGGTTCCACAGCTCTGCAGATTTACTAAAACTCATTGAACTATATCCTTAAAATGGGTGGATTTTGTGAATGTAAATTAGACTTCAATGAAGCTGTTTTTTAAAAAAGTAGATTTATTTCCTGCCCTCACCCTCTTGAGGAGTGATCTGCATCCTTCCACGAAAAAAGACCCACCTTAAAGATTCAGTTCTATGCATCTACCCAATGACCCAGGGAACCCATGATGTTCCCTGCTTCTGCAGCTCTGTTGAGCACATGAGGATGGTCCCTCAATCCATCTGCCAGATCCCACAAGGTCATCAAAAAGGGAAGAAAAGTGTCCCTGTCATCGCCACTTGTGGGTCCTTACCGCTCTTTCCCGAGCCTGCAATGCGTCCTGTATCTGCAGCTTGACCTGAGACTCTTCCTTACATCACAGCCAATCTATCAGGGAATGGAAGGAGTGCACCTCCAGCCACATCTTTTTCAAGCGGCCTCTCTTTTTGAAGGGAATCAACCTGCTCTCAGATCGAAACAGGAAGTAGTGAGGTTGCTGTGTCACAATGTGTTGTGCATTGACCAAGCTTCATCTCTTCCTCATTCTTAGTCATCAGGAAAGTAAGCAGAAGCTCTAAAAGGCAGCACCTGGCAGTGGTAGCTCCAAGCACAAACACCTACCAAGGACTGTTATAAATACACGCACACACACACACACACCCCCCATAAACCCAACATGTTTCCTTAAATCCTAGATTCCTAAGCCTGAGAATCAAAGTTCTCCAAAAATTATTCTGGCCTTAATTATCCACGTTGGATTCCATTATCTACCAAACTCTACCCTCTGCTCCAGTCAAGGCTTGTACTCTCCCCTAAATTCTGTGCTCACCCACAATTTATCCTGCCTGGAACAACGGCTTCTCTTTTTCTTCATAACAATCCAAACTCACGTTCACAATTCAATTCGACAAATGAAATGACTACTGACTCCCTACTAGCCTGCATGGGTCTCTTTCTTCTCTCTTGTCCACAACTTTTCCTTCCAACACAGTTTACGTTATTAATCACAGACGATCTTGTGTTATCATCTGTCACCAATCAGAAGGTAAACCCCTCATGAAGAGGGACCTGGTTACACATTACTTTTGTGTCTTTCACATTTCAAGGCACTGGATTAGACCCCAAGAAGGTGCTCGAGGCACAACAGTGACTTTTATAAAATCCACCAATCAATTCAGTTATTCACCACTTCTTCCCCAAACTCCAAGATTCTTCTCCTTTCCTCAGAAGCAGCAGCTGAGGTTTCCCACCACTCAAGAAAAGGATATGAAAATCACCTCTCCTGCCAGTTTTTGCTTTTTACACAGGAGAGAACCTGCCTTTCCAACCCAAGCTTTCAAAGATTCACATGGCATGCACATCCCTTCAACGACGCCTCTCACTGGACTGAAAAGTCACGGGTTAGAGGACATTGGTACTAGCTGTTTCATGTCTTTGGGCAACAAGACTCCCAATCAGTTATAGCTATCATCTACTCATTCCAACTACGCATTTGAGAACGATGCCTTCCCTCCCTCTCCTTTATACACCTCATTCCTGTTGTATTTTATGGTTTCACTTCCATATATAATACGTATGGAGTGGATGCCAAGTACCAGATTATTTAATGAGGAAACTGAGACTCAGAGGGGAAAATGCCCCGCCCCAAGTAACCCAGCTTTACAAACTGTCCTAACGCTGCTCCTGTGACGATCCACCACCACATTTTACCAGGCTGGTCCACCAGGGTACGCCCTGGAACAGCTTGGAAACCAGGAGAAGAGCCTGACAGACTGTCAACGTGCTGTCTACCTTAGATTTGTCTCAGGAAGCGAAAATCCAACTTCCAAAACCAAGCTTTATCATACAAATTAGTGACTGGTGGTCACATTGTCTGCTAGCCTGGTGCCATTTCAAGGACGGGCATACAACTCATACACTCAGCGGATCACGTTTTCTTCCCAGAATGTGAATAACCATTATAGAGGCAGACAGAGAAAGCGGAAACAAAGGAAATCCTCAGGCTTACACAAACAGAATTGAACACTCAACTCTCTCACCTACACAAGCACAACCTTGAATGAGTTACTCAGTACGGGCCTCAGTTTCCCATCTGTAAACCAGGCACTGGACCAGATGACTGTAAGGGTCCCTGTGCCTCCCACATCCTCTGATTCATGAGGTGATGAC